TTTATAAAGTGGCATATATGGAAAACACGATGACATGACTAAAAAGAATGTCTTACGCAGTTAACTCTTTTGGGTCTTTGGCGAAGCAGGTCAGACGGAAAGTACTCTATGGGAGTGAAATGAAAACTTTGCATATATACACGGGTGTAATCATTAAAATGTCCATGGACCTTAAAAATTTCAGTGAGCTGCAAAAATAGAGCAAGCAATTTAAAAGCAAAAAGAAGTTAGTTGTGATATATGATATCTGATTAAACATACATTGCAAGGGTAGTCAGAACACAACACCATATATACCATGAATGTCGTAGCATTCTCTAAAACATAGATTTAATTGATCATTTAATCATTATGATGATATTGAGGTTATATGAAATGAAATGAGTAGCGTTTGGCTTTAAAATTTTAACACTACAGCGTTCACGTTCTACGAGTCATGTTCACGAACTTGTTCAAATTCGTAATTAAATGAATGTTCTTTCCTAGCTTCTCACAGTTTCCGATTTCAATGGCATAGAATTGAACTCTCCCTTCCATTAAGAGAGTAAGGCTTATTGACTAGATTGAACTTGAAATAAAGTCTGCCCTTTCATTAAGAGGCAAAGGAAGGCTTATTAGATAGATTGAACTAGACGGTATTAAAAATGTATCCGTATTAATTAAAGATGCTCTTAAAACTTCAAACAGTCATTTTCGATTAACTTGTAGATGATGAACTTATTTTCAAGGGTTGAAAAATATTTTTATTTATTTATTTTTTTTTCGAAAGCTTTAAAGCACGTGCACATGGACTTTCTTTTACCCCCATTGTAGCTGTATTCTGATTAATAAAGTTTTGTCAAAAATATGATTAATATGATTACACATAAGCATATGATAACTCAGCACATGTGGATAATGATTACACAGTTGCAATGCACAAATCCCCAGCGAATACATCTACTTGCAATACTAAGTGTATATATATATATATATATATATGTATCTATATATAATTATATATATGTGATAGGATTTAATATGCATGCACATGTTCTCTTGATAGGTTTTTCGTAAAGCATAATTTTTTTGTTTTTTTTTTTTTTTGAATATACATAAATAAATCATTTAATGAAATTGTGTTATTTATTTATAATTTTTCATATTATTCTTTTTAAGTCAAATTGCACACAAATCACATTTCATACCAAATATAATTATTTTAAGATTTGTTTTTTTTTTTTTTTGTTTTCTTTGCTTAGCTTTTTTTTGTAACTTTAGGGAATTTCAAGGTGGAAACTGACTAATATGAATATTATTCATATTTGTTTTTATTAGATTTTATTAGCATTGCTTTTTAGTACTTTTCTATTTAAAGCAATTTATCGACTAACATCCCTCTCTCTCTCTCTCTCTCTCGTTCTTTCTGTAACTTTTTCTGTTCTGCTTACGTACTTTTTCGATTTTAATAATAATAAACAAATTTAGTTTAATTTAAATCAATGACTAATAAATGAAAAGCAAAAATAAAAACGTCAATTAAACGGTTCCGTATATTCTCCTTATACATATTCCACTTATTAGTTGGGGTGTGTAGCAATAGTTGCTGTTGTTTATTAGATCGATAGTATTAATTATTGCAATGAAATCAAATGAAATAAAAATTTATTTATTAGTCATTGATTATAAAATATTAAGAAAATTTCTCTAAGAAAATTCCAATTATATCTTTGTTTAATTTCACGAATTTATTGTAAACACGAAAATATTTTTCTACCCACCTCCTCTACCTATTTATGCACATCATCTAGCTATAATAATTTGATAATTTTTCTTGTAGAATCAAATGGAAACCTTGCAAACTACATAACTATTGCTTTGCTTCAGATTTTAAAATATATTAACTATGTCCGTCTTTCCATCCGCTTGGTATAGGTTGAAAGTTGAAATTGCTTACATATATTTTTGATTTCGCCATGCATGCCAAATCCAAAAGTAGCTCGGTTGCCTTTACCGATCTACTACCAGTGTATAAAAGCTAAGGCAAAAAAAAAAAAAACCCAAAAGGAGATCGAAATTTTCATTATATTAAGCGTGAAGGTCTTAGGATGTGAAGATTTGTGTCCCCAGCTAAACCTTCTCATGTTCTTACCCCTTCTCCTCTTGGATAATTTGCGTAGTCTCATTAATTCCTGCACTACTTAGTTCTTCTTACTTGAAATCTTTCGCGAAAGCTGATCTAAAGAACTTACTAAAAATATTTTTCAAATTTCTCTGTAAATTTTTATTAAAAATAATTGCGATTTATTTTCAAAAAAGTCTTTTAAAGTTAAAGGATATCCAAAATTCGCTTTAAGACATTTGCAGTTAGCTTTCTAACTTATTACTTAGCGTCTTAGTTAACGTTTAAAGGTATTTCATGAAATTGTAATTTATAGCATAATTGTTGCATTTTTAGCATATAAGTGGGTTTAGAATAAATGTTTATTTTTCTTGTCTCAAGAACATGCATATAAACTCAACAATAGTGACAGATATGCATTTCAACGGATACAGTCTAACAACAGTGAGGTTAATCCAGTTATTCATTTGATTTATTTAAAAAATAATTAAATAATAGTTAACAAAACAAAGTCAAGTTCAATTTTATACATTCCGGAAGCTTGTTATATAAATTGTCTTTTTCATTCTGTCTTTAAGTGCGACTGTGTTATTAGCTTTTGAGTATGAAAAAGTTTTCTTCATCAAATTTGAGGAGCGGAATGGCAACACGGAGACATCACACTAGTTATCCTAATTAGCCATTTTTTTTTTTATATTATTTACTTTCAAGTCTATGAAAAAATTGTTTGGCTTGTGAACTCTCGAATTAAGCGGAGTGAAAAGTGAATTTTTTCATTTTTCGGTTCATAAACCCAAAGTAAAGTGATTTTTTTCGAGTAACTGCATGAGCGATCATTGCAATTGAAAATCGTCCAAGGACACCTATTACACTGGAAATTGACAAATTTTAAGGTTATGTTGTGACTTTTTTCCAAATCTTTTGGACGTGTTCACTCGTCTACCATTTGTGGTTTCTATGACATCTTCTCTTGCTCAGAAGTAATGTATAGCTTAACAGCATTTGCACCAAGAACTTTAGTTAGATCGTGGTTTGCGATCATATGGTTGTGACCGTAAATGAGCGAAGCAAAGGTCTTATGAAAGAGTTCCGATCAACGTATGCTGTTTCTAAAAAAAATCTCGTAACAATAACACCAAAGCACAAGGAATGAAGGGTGTGCTGAACCAATGTCAATTATGTTAGCATTGATTACAATTTATTGACATAGCATTTTACTTACAACACATTGACTCGCTAACATTGCCAGGCATATAACAAACCAAAAAATTGAAATGGTTGCAATCAAATTTGAGGAAAAGGTTCTATTGTGAAAACTCTCTTTGTTACTTTAATTTACATTTTTTTTTTTTTTTTTTTTGACTAAAATCAATATCTTGACTGTTTTAATGATTTGCAACGAACTGATAAGAATAGATAGATAACTAAGGTAATTAACCTTTAGGGAGCGCTGTTCTTTTGAGACTTGCGCTCATTGCTTATGTTTTATTTTAAAGTAATGCAGGAAGCGAAATTCTTGATTAAAAATGCTTCTGCCTGCTGGTAGGATGTGATTGCATTTAGGACGAGAAACTACTTTAATGTTCTACGCTATCCTTGCTTATCAAAAAAATTCAAGTGGTTTTCGCGTTATGCTTGAAAGCCCAATAAAAACAAGTAATGATTTTCGATTTAGGTGAGGAAGCAATTAATGAATATTTTTCCATCTAAGCTAGAACGTCTTTTCAGTAGCAAGTCAATGTTAGAAAGGAATTTTTCTTCCTATAATCGCCCCAACAAGGTAAAGGTAAAAAACAATTCAACCTTTAACACTATAGTGTTTAGATTTAGGTAACCTACACTACTTCATTTAATACTGTTACTCATGTAATGACTTTTCAAAATAAGGTTTTTTGTGAGAAGTGATCGGGAAAATTATGTAATAGAAACAATTGTCAATAGTGTTCATGTTCGGGTCAAAACACGTGAGTGGACCAAATTTTATCAAAATATGTCAAAAATAGTGGCCTTTACATTGAACACAAAAAAACAAGACGGGCCGACGGACGGGTAAGCTAAGCAAGTGATTCAGAATAAAAGGTGGGTTTATCCCAAGTCCTTCTTTGTGTTGCGCAAATTCGCACTAACTTGCCATACTCGTGTCTAACAACCGGCGTAGGCTACAAAAAGCAAAGTTAAAATTCGAATGAAGTGTTTTTGTTTAGAAATTGTTTAAACAATATCATATAGTTTTTAAAAAGAATTTTCGTTACAACAATTACTATGTTATATAATGAAATTATTCAAAAAAGGCGATTTTAAGACTTAATACGTCTGCAAGACTTCTTTTTTATCATTCTTTTGCTAATTTTTTGTTTTTTAAGCTTTCATCCCCCACCACGTTTGGTACAAGGGTATATTAAGTTTGTGCGGATGTATGTAACGCACAGAAGGTCTTGAGATGGGGCCACATTCTATTATACCGGTCGATTCAGAATCACTTTCTAAGTAACTTTTTAACTTTTGGTCTAAGCTTTTCTGTCCATCTGTCCGTCTTGTCTGTTTATATCTAACCTTTTTAATGAATTTTGACAAAATTTGGTACACCAACGTATTTTGAATTAAGAAGGAACGCTATCGAGAATGCTGCCGGTCCGACCTTCTTCTCATATCTCACCTTTTTGAAAAGTAGTTGTATGAAGAGCAATAGGGTTGGGGTAGAGGGCTTAATAGCTGTAACGCATTACAATGTTTTTACTTGTTGAAAATAACTGCTTGTATATCATAACCAGATTAGATTCGTTTGATTTAAAAACTTGGAATAGTTAACAGGCTGTTTAAGAAGAATTTTTCGTTATAACGACGGCAATTTTCGTATTTGTTTTTAAATTTATTTAATAAACGTATATATTTTACTTACCATTTTGTCGTTGCAGTTGGGTGTTAATGTTGAGCAAAAATAATCCTTGTAAATAGATGAAAAGATGTAGTAATCCAAAAAAGATGGTAAGTAATCCTTATAAAGTTTTTTTTTGTTTTGTCAATAATATTATTTTCAAATAATAATTTCACCAAATTTAACAAAAATGTTCAATTTAACGATTGATGTCACTTGTCACTTATTAGCATTTTATAATTGTGCTTTATTGTTTACTTTTTCTTTAAAAAAAAAAAAACAAAAAAAAAAAAAACAAAAACAAAAAGTCAACACAAAATAAGAAGAATACATATAAGCAATGCTTAAAATGTTTTAATTAAACGAAATCATTTTTATAAACTAAGGATATAAATATTCAATGCCTTAACGAATCCATGTGTATATAACACCATTACACCATAAAATGTTTCAGTTGGTTTCTCTTTGTGTCATAGATTTACTTGATTTAAATTGAAATCAATTAAAAATTAATTTTTCTTTCTTTTTTTTTTGTTTTTTATAATTTTTTTCTTTTATATGACACTTTATTTGCTATATTTTACATTAACACCGCACACGCTTGTTTGCTGTTGCACGTTTAGTCAATGACTAAGGGCGCGCAATTCGAAAAAATTTTAAATTCAACACGAAAACCGAAAAAAAAAAACAAATAAATAAAATAAAAACTAATGAAATCAATTTCTCAACTAACACACTCAACCCGGCACAACAACAGCACACACAGCGCACAGCATACAACAAATTCATGAGTTTAACAGCATTTAGAAAACATTTTAGACTCATACAGCATACTCTACTCAGTCGAATATATTCTTACAAGCATTTTAACGTAACGACGAAGAATTAAATAAATAAATAAACGAACGAAACGAAGTTAAACGAACCGATATGTATGTTATGCTAAAACGAAGAATTTTTTTTCGCTTTTTGTTTTTTTTTTTTTCTTCTAAAAGCAAGAGGGTAAACACACACACACACACACACACACGCACTGTTTATGAAGAAAAAAAAAAAAACAAAAAAAAAAGAAAACCAAATAAAAAAAAAAGTTTAGTTTAATAACAAATATGTAATGCAAACATTAAGTTTGTGTATCGTGCGTGTGTGATGCCTATGTGTGTGCAGCTATAAAAGCCTATAAGATGTGATGATTATAATTAAAAAAATTAAAATAATCATCAACCACTTATACTAACACTGTGTTGTTACATTTTATTCTCTGCTTTTAACAGCACATTTTAAAATCTCTCTAGCTCTCACTCTCTCTCTCTCTCTCTCTCTAAAAATAGAGAATTACATTATTTTTCCACTCTCTTACTTTAATTTAAGTAATACGTGTAGTGAATAATATGAGGCTCTCTTGTAATCATTGTGGAAGTTCTTATTATTATTGTTATTGTTATTAACACTTCACCGTAGTAATGCTCTAAACTCTCTCACTAGCTTAACAGAATATAAAGTAAGGGCAACAACACTGTATTAAGGCCATTTTCATTGTATTAGTGTTATGGCTTTACGCTGCTGAGCTAAATATGTAAATACTGTAATAACATCTTTTAATGATTCTTCTTCTTGTTTTTCATTTCTTTTTTTGTTTCTTTTACATATCCTTTCGATCTCTCCTTCTCTTTCTTTTGATTTTTATTTTATAATTAATAAAAAAATAGGAAATACTTGTTAGTAAAATCAACCCCTTTTCGCTTCATTTTATTTTTTTTTTTTTTTTTTTTTTTTTTTTTTTTATCACAGTAACAGTTTCCATTTCTATTTGTATTAATAGGTTTACTTGTTTTCCGTTTCTGTGCAATGTTTTTTCTATTCCACTCGATAAAATCATGTGCAAAAAAGAAACTAAAGAGGAAATGCATCATTTACCTACCAGCTTATACATAAGTAAATGAGTTAAGCAAAACGGAATAATCTACAAAAAGAGAAGAAACAAAAAAAAAAAAAAAGAAGTAAACGAAATGTAGTAATAATATTTATAACGAAAACGTAGAATCATAATAACAATAATCATAATTATAGTGCCATAGTAACATCGTCATCATCATCATTATGTTATTTAATGCTATACACGTAGGATTTTTTAGCAGTTAGAAGCTATATAAAATAAATGATTGAGGGTACGTACGTGAATGTGTGTGAATTGTGTTGATTTGTCATTTGAAACTTTTCAACGCAGTTCCATTGTGAGCGATATATGCACGTATGTATGCGTATAATCATTATTCTTTATAACGTATGTGCAAACTGTTCTGTTTTATGACGACAAACGTTAATAGAAATTTCTTTCGCTTTAAAATTTTTTACAAAAATTTTGTTTTGAAAAAATTTCAAAAAGAATTTTTTTTTTTTTTTTAATTATCTCATCGCATAAAAGGAAATCTATCAGATTCATCAAATATTTGACACGCATTTAAAGTTTAAATATTAAGTCTTTGCAGCCGTGGACACATAATTAGCACTATGATAATAAACCAACAAGATAACTAAAACTTATTAATAGATTTAGAGGAAAAAAATAAAAAAAAAACAAAAACACTAAGCAAAAAATTTGCATTTATTTCAAAATGTAAAGTAAAAAAAGTAAAAAAAATCTTCCAATGATATATATTATTATTGATCAGGTTGAAAAGTGACAAAACCGTTACAGTGCTCTATCACCGAACGTTGTTCTGCAAATGCGAAAGATTTTTCAAAGTTGCCAGAAGAAAATGAAAGTGTATGTGCACATCAATGAAATTAGGTTAGGGACACATCAGACATTCTCAACATGACCAAGCAACGCATTTGGCAGATATTAAAGCAAGATTTGGGGCAGGGAAAACCTGATCTTACTTCGCATTACAAGAAACTAAATATCGACTAAAGTACCGATTGAAACAGCGACAAGAACACAAGTCTGTGACTACGATGGCAAAATTGCATAGATGGGAATTCGGTTTACCGCAACAGTAGATAATAAGTGCAGGGTGGAATGTAAAGCGTATTTTAAGGGTTCCGTCAAACCGTTGTATGAGAAAGTTAGCGAGTTATTAGAGAGTCGTTGGACAGATTATATCATTCTACAAAGAGAGTAAGATGATAAATACCGAATGAAATGAATTTTCTAAAAATGAAAAACGCTTTTGCTTACGTAAATGGGAAAATTTTCATTAAACCTTCGTATGAGCGAATCCTATTTTGCATTTTGCTTACATAATGTGTGTATAAAGTAGCCGAAATTAAAGCAGTTATATGTCCTGATTGAGACGCGTTCTGCAAGTACTTCAAGGAAACATGCTCTACGTATTTGATTGATATTATATGCCTTTCTAAATGGAATAATTTTAGTATCCAAAGAATTCAGAATAAGGAGTATCAAGTTCTTTTTAGATTACGTAAGTCACGTATCTGCTTAAGAGTTAAGAGAGAGAGTGATAAAGTATTTGATGTGTAAAATTTAAGTCTCTTTGAAGTAATCGGTCTCATAGCTACATGCTTACTATCCTAGGAGCGGACTTAAGAGAATTGTTTCTCCTTTCGGACGTTTCCATAAGATTTGATTTTCGAAAGCAATTTTGAATTTTTCGATATATCTATCTTTCATAATTGCTGAAAGTAGGCGAGAATGAGTGCCATATTACGGGCCGATCTGAAGTCCATGTTCGTCTTTTAAGTCAACTCTTCAAGACTTGCGCTATGGTGGGCGAAAACCAATGTCTTCATTTTAAAGATGTACTTCATATTCGCAACATTTTAAAACCTGTCGCTTCGGAAACTTCTTTGAACATTTTCGAATTTGGTAGGCCAGCATCTGGTTAGATACGATTCATCTTGGAGTTTCCGCAATATATTCAGCACATCAGAAGAACATGCTACAAACAGCGTTTCGACTTTGCTTCGTGACTTTCGTAGCCTTGCAAGGTCAAGGGAGACAAATGTGCTATAGTTTTGCGAGCTCCTTTTAAAAAACCTCCTGTTTTAAAAAACATTCAAGCTTGTCCCTTGCTTAGATGCCTAATGGATTCTACAAAACATTCTCAGTGATTGATCACATGAACGCATTAGTACCCAAACAATATTAGTGCCTCGATTTTATCAACGCTCTTGGTGTCGAAGCTACCACAAGTCGACCAAAAAGATGATATAAGCCAATTATCGTTTTTCCGAAATTTTTGGAATTTTTCAAACATTTGCGACTCGTTATTTTTGGCACAAATGATTCACTTGGCGAGTTCTACAATACATTGAGCGATTCGTCATGTAAATGTTTCTTTAAAACAAAAAGCATAAGACCGATCCTTGCTTTAGCAATTTTTTTCCATTTACAAAGTTGCAGAACACTTACACGTATGATGAACGAAGACGTTAGCTTTAGTCGCAAAAATGAAGTTAAGAAGCTGAACGCCCACAATGTAAAACGAACTCAAACAGCCTAGAAAAAATACCGACAATTTTTCTATATTTTCATCCCTGACCCTGATGGTACTTCACAGAACCATGTTGGCCAAAAAGTTGCCAAAAGCACCTACTTGATCACAGCTGTATTTAGAGCTATCAACTTCCAGGCAAAAAGCAAACTGTGACGGCATCCTTTACGCGTCTTTTTTAAGTAATAAGTTTCTTATGTCATACGTAATTAGTGTGTGAATTGAGAGTTTTTCCTTCAGTAACATCGTTCTTAAGACTTGCTTTTATTTTCCATTCCTTGGTAGTATTCAAAGATCTTTTATTCTCGAGGTCAATCTTTGTAGGTAAACCCCCTAAGGTTTTGTCCGTTTAAAGCGCTTCAAATCAGTTTTCTCTCATATCGTTCTATTAATTGTTGTTAGATAAGAATTCAATTATAGAACTAATTGATTAGAACAAACAAAATCCATCATCATCGTCATCATCATCATCGTCATCAAACCTATTGTGATAATAGGTGATGGATTTCTTCAAAATAGTCAGTTAATTATCTTGCACTTAACGACCCGGCATAAGTTCTATAGTAAGTATAGACCTGAAAATGTCTAAATATTCATTGAAATCATTGAATTCAAACTTGAATATATATACAGGTATGCATGAATATGTTGCGCGCCTGACATTAATAGAAATTTAGATTGAAAATCTTATCAGTTGAGTTTTTGTTTTATGAATTTGTTTACCAACGAACATGTACCGAACAATTATTTTAGAATAGAAAAAAAAAAAAAGAAAAGAAAATTATATTTATTTAAGAGGTAACCAGTCA